CATCAAAACAGACCAAACAGACCCTGTTACTAGATAAGAATTGCTGCTGAAGAAGCTTTTTGCTTTGGCTCCTACCAGCTACTTTTTCATAAATTTCTCTTTGAATTATGAATCAATGTACATAAATCCAATTTTTGACCATAGGACAAGTGGTAATGTTTTTAAACTAAGAGAGGTTAGATTCAGGTGAGATAGAAGGAGGAAATTTTGTGCGGTGAGGGTGGTGAAAGACTGAAACAGGTAGCCCAGAGAGGTGGTAGGTTCTCCATTTCTGAGAACATTCTGGGCCTGTTGAGCTCTGAGTAATCTGATCTAGTTGGAGATGCTCCTGCTTATTGCAGAGTGACTTGGTGACCTTTAATCATCCCTTTCAACCCAAACTCTTCTATGATTCTATGAAAATAAGTAAAAATTCAAAGGTGGTAATGAAACTGAAGATCATTTAAATAGATGATCATGAAATGTGACCCAAAAATTATAATAATTACTCTAAAATCACAAGTTCTGTCAGGCAAATTCTATTCTCAGTTGGGAATAATGAACTCAGAAATTACCCTTTGACTCATCATTGAAATAATCTGAAATGGAAAAGAAAGGGGAAGAGAGCTCTCAAAACAGTCCTGGAAACTTACTCATTTAAGGGAAAAGACAAACAGCACCAGCAGGTGAAACAGCAGATTTGGGGGATTTTTCTTACTAGGGAGCTGAGGAAAAATACAAAGGCTGATTGTAGAATTAGTGGAAACACATTCAGAGTAAGCTGCCCTATAAATAAAACCATTTCATCACAGCTTCACAGTTTATGTAAAACTAATTTGTTCTCTGTGTGATTGTTTGGTTGGCTATTTTGAGGCAGGGAAAAGTCCTAGAAAAGTTATTCTTGTTGCCACTTGGACTATAATGCACTTCCTTCTCTTTGGGAACTCACTGCTGCTTCTGTCCTCCTTCATTAGGTGACACAGGAGACAATTCTTTGTCCCTGTGACCAAATCACAAATGTCATCATGTCTATGTTGCTAAAATCCCATAGGTTTCAAGGCTTTTTAAAAATGAAATACATACTTATAAAGTGTGTCCTTACTTGATGGCTAAGGTTACAGACAAGAATGGAAATGATATTTAATGAAAGGCTGTCAAGAAGGTTAGGGCTTCAATGATTACAAAGGCAGTTTGCTTAAAGTTATTTCAGTAAGAAGTTGAAATCTGTCCTCAAGTTTAGAACAAAGGAAAATACAGAAACATTTTTAAAAGCTAATTTTAGACATGAAACCCAACATGAGAAAATGAGAAAATCTTATAAAACCTTGATTTGCAATAGAGCTATTCCCTGGGTTTATTTTGGTGGGTTTTTTTTTTTGTTTTGTTTTGTTTTGGTTTGGTTTGGTTTGGTTTTTTTTTTTTTTTTTTGAGGGTGAGGTGCTGCATGATTCAAGGAATAAAAATTTATGGATACTCAAGAAGGAAGGGGATAAGACAAAAAGAATGAAGGGAAGATATCTCGGCTCTGTGAGAGTTGGATGTGCGACAGCATAGGCAGAGGAAAGAATTAGAAAAATCTGTCAAGCACAGGGTGTGACTCTTGGGGATTATTTTGTGTAGGGCCAGGAGTTGGATTCAATGATCCTTGTGGGTTTTTTCCAACTCAGCACATTCAGTGATTTTGTGATTACCAGCAAGGTGTGAAATCCCTGGTACTGAAGCTGAAAACAATGTGAGCATTAGAAGTGAAAACTATCTCTGCCGTATCATTGTCTTGAAGCTATAAATGACACTACTTTGGTAAAGAAAAGTGTGACTTGGCTTTCAATTACACACCAAAATAAAAAAAATCACATAGCTATCAGGTCCAGGAAGGTCAGCTTTCCCCTCTCTATTTGGAATACTGAATTTAGATTTAGGCTCTCCAGTACAGATATTGGCATGCTGCAGCAAGACATGGGGGCCACCATACTGACCAGGGAGAGGGACAGAGCACACAGTGTACAGGGAGAGGCTGAAGAGCTGGGTCAGTTCTCCCTGGAGAAGAGAAGGCTCGGAGAGACCTTTCTGCTCCCTGCAACTACGTGCTGGGAGAACACAAAGACACATTATTTTCTGGTTAGACAAAATGAAAAATACTTTTACTGTGAAAGGGGTCAAATTGTGGACCCCAGGAGAGCATGTGGAAAGAACCAGCCTGGGAAATGTTCAACACCTAGTGAAATACAGGCCTGAGAAAACAGATCCAGTTAGCTCTGCTTCAAGAAGTGGGTTGGAACAGGTAACACCTGAGGGTTCTTTTCAACCTAAACTATTTCATGTCTGTATTATACGTAAAATCAGAGTGCTCCTGCTAGCTGTGTAAGGTCTGTCAAGGCAGTCAAACAAGGCAGTTTTCCCCTTTTCAAGGCAGGGGAAAACAAGTAAAAAGTATGTGAGCACTGGAAACCCCTGCCTCACAAAGACAAGCTGCCCCATGGAAAAGAGCATCTCCCTCCTGTTTGCAGAACTGAGTAAGGTTTGGGTCCTGTTACCTCATACAGGAGGAAACAGAGCAAATATTCCCTAGGAGAGAGCAGCTGCCTTATTTTGCTGCAGGGCAGAGAGCCTGTAAAGAGCAAACACCTTCCTGCATGCGAGCAGCATCTGCTGGGGCTGCGGTTCTGCGCTGGGGGCAGGAGCTGCTCCCCCAGGGAATGCCGCGGCTTTTTCTGGAGGCAGCAGCTGCTGCTGGAACACACCCATAGCTCACCAAAATGTGTCCCACCAATAACAGACAAGGCTGTGTATGCTTTGGGGCGGCAGCTGGCTTTGGATACCCTGTCTCAGACATCAACCCATGAAGTGGGGTTCCTGTGATCTCAGTAAACCAGTAGGTACTCACCTACAGCTCTGTGGGCCACTTGGATTTGTTTTGTGCTCAATGAGAAGAAATGGGGATGAGAAGGTGTTTTGGTGGGCTCTTGTGGCTTTTTTTCTTGGCTTTTGGACAGTTTTGTTGTTGATATTGTTGTTGTTGCTGTTTTTTGGGGGGGGCTGTTGGTTTGGTTTTATTCTATTGTACAATTTTCCTCACTGATTTTAATATCAGTTTCACAGTAGAATGAATTTCCCATTCCGAAGCTTATTTCTCCTCATTTATATGGTAGTGACTTATTCAGCTGTGATCCTCTACACTGGAGCTGCCTAGAAAAATGTCACTGACAGGGCTATAAAGTGCCTACAGTTCTACTGGAACAGCTGGGAGTTACTGGTGTTTAACATCCTCAAAAATCACATTCAAAAAACTCACTACAAATATGGATGGGATGACTTACACCACAGCAAATAAAGAACAAGTAAAACAGTACAGCAAGAATGGGTGCATCTGTGTGCATAAATACATGAGGGATAGCTGAATTCTGTGAGCCACTATCTGTTGGTACCTCTGTACTTCAACCTTGTATGGCAAAACTGCTAGAATAATTTGCGATATGCTTCTTAAGTGGAGATTAGAGGTTGGAGATGTTTTTCTGTTTGATTTTAAACTCCGTATTTTTATCTTGTAACAGCATGATCTAGGAAATCATGCTAGAGAGGATTGAATGAAGTCTGAATCCCACTACTATTGTTGCAGTCTTCATAGTGCTAAAATATTCCCTGTGGTTCTGATAGCTCTGCAGATTGGTGCAGTGTTCTTTGTGGCCAGTATGTAAAACACTGCTGCTGCTGCTGCTGCTGCTGCTGTTGCTGCTGCTGCTGCTGCAAAAAAAAAAAAAAAAAAGAACACCAAAACAAAACAAAACCAACCCTCTCCAAAAAGAGAGAGCTCCTCTCAATAAGTGCAGCAAAGGTATCCACGCTAACAGTGCTACTGTGCTTATTATGAGCTGAACATACATCTGAGTCTATTTCAGCCCTACAGAATTAAAAAGTTTTGAACCATGTGTCCTTGAAAAGTCCTCAGTCTTGTCTATGTAATGGAAAACTTACCGCTCTCCTGGCAGCAGTTTGTGGTGTAGCACACCTGCACATTCACATCCAGCCTGGTCGGCAGCCAACAGCCTGCGCCAGCCAGGGAGGTGCTGGGTGTCCTTTGATCCCAGTTAGTTTCTATGGGAACTGAAGGTGCTTAGCACACTGCAAGATGTGCCCAGCAGCCTTCAAGATAAGACTATATGATTCTTAATTGTAAATTCTTTCCTCTTCACAGATGGTGCAAGAATTTGCCAGAAATGGTTCCTTTCCTTCTGCTTGAACATGGAATCTTAGGCAAAGGTTAAAAAATAAAGAAGCTGGTTATTCTTTTAGGATGTCTTTTTCTTATATTTCATCATAACTCCAAATCAAGGAGAAGTTGTCACAACTAACTTTAGTCTTGAACCATGGGCTGGGTATTTCGAGAGAAGACAATAATAATTAATCCTTATGATCCTAAAGAAATAAAAGTATTTTGCTGCATTTCAGCAGGACTGGAAAGTCTTTGTAAATTAAAAAACAAGACAAAAAATTAACAATCTGCTGCTGTGAAGTGGTGTCACTACCAGGACAGTAATTATAACATGCTGTCAAAAACTTGCAATAGCAAACCCAGCACTCTTTTAGGAAAGGACAAACCAGTTTGGAGTAGCACAAAAGCAGCTAGATTATTTTTCCATACTGCAAAAATCCTCAACATTCAAACTTTTTCCTGAAAATTAAGTGTGTTGAGTATCTAACTAGAAATGTCAAAATATTTATTAATACCTTGAGGCAATCACCCAAAAAGGAGGATGTGCAACTCACATATTCTAAAATTCAGTCCTTTTTAATTTTGAAAGTTGGATCAAACTCTGTTTGATTTCATGGGGGTTATTTTGGACAGTTTCTTTGCCTTCTGAATTAGGAAAGAAGCATGTTCTTCTGCACACACAATGTGTCACAAACTCTGATTTGATAAACTTACCCTGACATTATTTGGCAGAAAAATTATCTAGAAAATTTGACTCCAAGATTCAAATTTCTTCTGGAAGAAGAGACTGAACTGTATGAAAAATGTTTACCTTAGGAGACTTGGTGGGAATGTTTGTGTCCAGTTTTCACTCAGCGCTTGTGCTGATTTGAGTTTAGCTATTCCTCCGTGATGTCTTTTCAGAATTTTGTATCCAAAATTTGCTGCTTCATGAAGAACCCACAAGACGTGGAAGTGCAGACAGGAGCTAGTAGTCAGGTATGGAAATTCAATTTGAGTATGATCCTCAGGCTTAAATTGGATAATCACAGATATTGTGAAACTGCAGGAAAGGCAATTTCCAAATATACCTTTTTCAGCAGAGTGAGCTGCCAAAAAAATTTAAGAGGGAATTACAGTATCTGCAAAAATTAACTGCAGAGTCATGCAGGCTGCTAAGCAGGGTGCAGTAGACTGAGGTGGAAGCAGACTCTTACATAATTTAAATGCAGCAAAGGAATGAGAAATAGCAGATGATGAAGCTTTTGTCACATTTTCCCCACACTGCGGGTGTTTTTCCTTATCAGTGCTGCAAAAGCAACACAGTTTAAGAACTCAAATGCATTTTTCTAATAAAAAAACTCTGCTTAACATATCTGTCTCATGGTAGCTCTTTTATCCATATAAAAAGTGTGGGGATGGAATAGAGAGCCAAGATAAACAATCCATAACAGATATGAAAGCACCTAGAGTAATTTTTTATAATAAAAAGGAATGAAAGAGTCAAATAAAGTCATTTTGAGGATGAATAATAATTATGGGAGACAGAATAATTTTAAGGAGTTGGTGGCAGATTCCCTCGTTAACAAGCCTTGTGGCAAGTTGAGGATCAAAGGAAACCAGAGCAACTCCTCTTAGCTGGTCAAAGAAAATGAGCTGTCCTATGTTTTCACTTCAAATGGGCCAGGCCCAACATCATGCCTTGGAAGAGGGCAAGAGGAAAGGCAAAAACAAATGAGGATTTTCAGTACTTTTCCCCAGTTTTTATAAGAAAATAACAGAAATGGATCTAAATCAAACACCTCAGCCACCCTGAAGGTGCTTGCAGTTAATCTGATCTGTGGATGCTGTCTCTTTTTGTGTGACACATTTCTTTTCACCATGTGGAAATGGCTGCGCATTCAGTTGTACTCCAGGCATCACAACCTTGTCATATTCCCGAAAACTGGATGTAACAAATACATGGGTTACACTTGCAGGCTGTCACCTGTGTATAAGGTCTGAAGTTTTCTTCAGGGAAAGCTGTAGATAGGCAACCAGGAGCATCTTCAGAAGCCCTGCAACCTAGAAAATGTCAAATTATTTTTGTAATAAAAAGGAATGAAAGAGTAAAATACATGCTTCAGAAAGATTTTGACTCTAGATTGAAGCAAAGGAGGCAGAGTGTTAATATTCAAAAGTGTATGAATACATCCCCCTGTAATGCCATATATAAATTAGATATAAGATATCATTAAGGAGCGAGAGAGTGCAAGCCATAGTTCAGCATTGTTACCTGTGAAATAATAAATCTTATTTGTGGACAAAAAGAATAAAAACCCACCAATAGTCTTTTCCTGGACTCAGTGTTTTCCTGTTTATGAAACACACTTGTACAAAACATAACTAACAACACCTGTTGCAAAACTGCTGCGGGGGACAAAAAATATTCTTCCTTCTCAATACTGTGCTTAAGAGATTTACATGACATTTTTGTAAGCTAAGGTTAATGTCATCATGTTGCCAAGGTTAGTGTTGCTATGATCTTTGTCTTCTAAGGACACAGAGAAAAAAGTCATCCATCTGACCTTCTCTGTGTGTGCCCCGAGGGTATCATTGGTCACAGTAGCTGCAGAAGCAGTGCTCACCTCTGTGGAGAGGGGAGGTGGCAGCAGTGCAGGACAAGGACTCCCACCAAGCCAATCTCAAGAGCAGATGAAGGTGACACCACCACTTTCATCACCATCTCTCAGTTCCCAGCTTCTTGCCTGCTCTTCCTCTACTCCTTCCTCAGCAATGTGCTGCATGGTATTTTTGGGGTGGATGTGAATGAACTGTTTTCATCCCACTCGGAATATTGGCAGATGTTCAAGCTGCCTTCCAGGAGGCACAAGGTGAATTTTGAGTGATACTTCAGGCTTTCTGCTTCTGGTATAATTTCATTTTGAGCAGAGCCAGTTTCACACATGACACATTAGTTAATTCCCTAGGCAGCAGTACAATTTTGGTTTGTTTCATTTGATCCTTTTAAGGAAGCCCTCTGTGTAGATGAAGGGTTATGTCTTACAGATATGTCTGTGGTAATCTCTCTGCACAGCACAGCTTTTTGGGAGTAGAAAGAAGTCAAGTGGCAGTGAAGCCACACAATCAAGGCTGTTTCCACATCCTGTTGGTTTCAAAGCACAAACCCATATCATTTAATGCTGGTAAAAAAATCTTATCTATGGGCTTTAGATATCATTCAACAGTAGAAAAGAAAAGGGATTTCATTCTTGCATACAGCAGCATATTCCTGGATCAATTCCTAATTTTTGCAGGAACTTTAATGATAGAGTATGGCATGAACTGGCTTACTTCAAAATCTGGTGATCTTTCTGCCAGTCAAAGAGTGGACACATATTTTAGCATATGGATTGCATTTTCTACTAATACTCCCTTCTTTTTTCTTTTTCAATTTTTTTCTCCCATTACATTTCCTTGGAGGAGCTGGAAGACCCCTCTTTGGTTAATTAGGTGTATTCTTTTATGTCTGTCACCACGAGCAGCCCACAAGCATTTTGGCCAAATGTTACAATGACAAAATTGTCTGTACTAATGTCTTTGAAAAATACATTTTTGAAATCTCCTTATGAATGGGATCCATGCAAGGATAATCAAGCCATTAATTAGCTTGTTTTTATCCAGTCTTTACATGTAAAGCAAAGACATGAAACATGAACACGTTTTGTGAGGGCTGTGAATGGTTTAGTGGTGGAGGGCAGCTGTGCTCAGGAGAACCAGCCTGAATGGAAGCTGCAACTCTGCTTATGGCAATGACAGGATGCAGATCACAGGAATCACTGAAAACAGTTTTTAAAATGCAGTTTGATTTATTTTTGTGGCATTACAAAAATTTTTGTATCATCAAATTATGTCAGAAAAACCAGTGTGTGGTGAAGACAAAAATTTTGATGTATATATTAATGATGGATTTGATCTGTAATCCATTAAGCTATTTTAATTTTTCTTTTTATTATTATTCTTCCTTAATTGCACAGAATCCCAAGTGATGGAAAAGGCATTTAGGAGATTTTGTCAGAAGCATTCTGGAGGTTTTGATAACTTATTAAGGAGGATTTTAATCTATTTTACTTCATATTATAGGCACATTTTTCATCCTTCAAGAGAGGAGGGAAATTCCTCATTTTAATTTAATTTCCTAAAGGTCAGAAGATTGTGCTTTAGGAGATGAATCTTTTGGATGGGAAAAAATTAAAGAGAAGCAGAGAGGATGTGTCATATGGTTGCTTTAGCAATTATTTTATAATTTATTTATTATGTTTTCCTATGAGACAATATTGCTCTTTTAAAATACAAGCAAACTTAGAAATCACCATCAGTTAACCATAAAATAATTCACTGTGACAGAACAAGCCTTTCTAGTACGTGATGATATCATGATTACCCCTCAAATGATTTTGTGATGCATACAGACATAAAGGCATAAAATAATTTTGTGAAAAAAAGGAGATGGGCAAAGCTTAAACTTTGTGACACATTTTAGATATTTTATTTTTGTAACACAAAAGTGAGCATGAGTTCCTTAAGATTGTTTCCCTAAAAGGTATATCAGACCATCTTGTCTTCATCCAACTGTAGTGAGCACAACAGATTTGCAAAATCTTTAATTTGATATCTCAGAAATATTAAAAAAGCAACAGTGGTAATTTTGGTACTACACTGATGTTTTTTCTGAAAGGTTTTTTTTTGTTTATTGATATGATCTCTTTAGCCACAAGTGTTTTATTTGTTAAGAATAAGAGGTGATTAAGAGGTGATTTCAATTACAGCAATCGTGAAATATTTTTAATTAAAGTGGATCAGTCCTTTAATCTCTAGGACATTATGAAAGGCAGGGGAAACTGTCATAACTGTTCTGAATTGAGTTATATTTTCAGGCCAATATTAATATTGTTGTTTATGCTAGAAAATACATGATTTCTGCATTTTCCCATGTGGTATTCCAGAACAAGAATTTATTGTAACTAGAAGTTTCATACTAGGACATTCTAAAAATTGAGAACAGCCAGCCATCAAAAGGATTGTTATGTGATATACATCTATGAGAAAAAATAGTTCTTCCCATGTGAAAAGAAGCACAATATGCTATAGCCTAATAACAGAAGCTATAAAACTGTTCAGCAATTTTTTTTCCAAACTAAATACTTATTGGAAACCAGATGGAATTTCTGTGGTCCATTGCAAACTCTACCAATTTGTTCTTAATTGGTTTTCTGCAGATGGACCCTGGGCCTGTTGGATGTGGTCATTACAAACCACAGAAAGTCAATTAAACCTTATCTGTGAAATTGGACAACATGAGAAGACAAATCACTGGCATGTTCAACACACCCAAAATGACAAAGTTTCAGTTCTGCAGTGAGGTGATGTACACACTAACATCAGAAATACTGAACTGCAGCTGCAAAGGAGGGAAAGGAGAGTCAGCTGCACAGAGTTCCCACAGCTAAGTTAAAGCCACTCACATGAGAATAAATTATCATACTGAAATAAAAACCCATCACACCATTGACCAACTCCTTACTGAGTCACTTAGCAAATTAATTTATGAGGGTAGAATTATAAAAAAAAAAAAGAAAAAACTGACTCAGGAGTGGCCAAATTGAGATTAAAGGATGTGAGAATTGTTCAGAAATAGGCAATATAGCATAAAACTGTAAGAAGAAATATGGATTTCTCCTAATAAAAATTTAGCCTGTGAAAATCTCTGTCCTGAGACCCTGTTCAGAGAAGGAAAAAAATTCCAAATTTATTATTGAAAAGAAAGAGTAGCAAGAGATGAATCTTTACAAATCAGGAAATTAAGACTTCCAGGTTCAACTCCTAACAAGAAAAAATAAAATAAAATATTCAAAAAAAATTGCCAAACCTTCCTTTTCTATAGCCCTCAACAGTCCATGTAGATGCAAGTATTCAGTTGCTTTAAAGTGCTAGGGCTATGGCAATTTACTCTGTAGATATTTAAAGCAATGTATAAGTCACTGGTGAGGTGTGCCCTGCCTCTCCCATTTGATTCTACATGGGGAAAATTCTGGCATAATGCAGGGGGGTGGGCTGGATGGCCTTTAATATCCCTTCCAATCCAAATGATTCTCTGAGTTTGTGATTCCATGATGTCTCGTGTTTTTCACTTGGGTATTCCTCTCTTCCATGCC